TATTATTACATATATGTGATTAAATATTTAAAAATAAAATTTTAACTCATCCCATCTACAATTACAAACTCCTTGTGTCATTATTAGTATTTCTAAGAATATTATTTATTTAAAAAATTTCATTTTCGATACAGGATTTTTAACTTGATTTAAAATACCGCCAACAGAACTAGATTCATTGTTATTTGTATTTGGGAAGAATCCAGAAACAGGATTGTCTTTTAGATCTGGGAAAAATCCTGACTGATCAGGATTCTCTTGCTGATTATATTCAAAAGGCTGTTCTTGATATGAATTATCCTCTGGTTGATACATATCCTGCGACCCGTAAATATCTTGTGATTGTTGATACGAGTCATCTTGTGGTTGGTATGACGAATCATCTTGATTATACATATCCTGCGAACCGTAAATATCTTGTGGTTGTTGATACGAATCATCTTGTGGTTGTTGATACGAATCATCTTGTGGTTGATATGATGAATCATCTTGATTATACATATCCTGCGATCCGTAAATATCTTGTGATTGCTGATACGAGTTATCTTGTGGCTGTTGATATGAGTTATCTTGTGGCTGATATGGGTCTTGTGGTTGATTATAATCATCCTGTGTTTGCTGTTGATAATAATAATCATTTTGTGGTTGTTGATAATAATCATTATTATCTTGTTGTGCGAATTGATCTTCTTGTTGATATTGTGAAGAATCATCATAATACTGTTGTGATACATCATCTCCACCACTATAATCAGTTTGTCCATAATGATCACCACCTTGATTGGGATCATAATATGAATCTTGTATATCTTGAGCAGCTTGATCTTCTGTTTGATCTTCCACTTCCTGGTCACCTTCTTGTTGCTGTTGGTCATCACCTTCTTGCTGTTGGTCAACTCCTTCTTGCTGTTGGTCAACTCCTTCTTGCTGTTGGTCAACACCTTCTTGCTGTTGGTCAACACCAGCTTCACCTTTATTTTGTCTTTGTTGTGGATTGTTTTTTCTGTTTGTCGGCTGTTGATTTGGAATTACTCTTGTTCTTTGCTGATGTTGCTGCTGCTTCATTAGTACTGGTCGCTGTTGTTGCTGTTGTGGCGGTAATCTTTGTTGTTTAATTCTTAAATCTTGCTGCCTTTGTTGCTGTTGTCTCATTCCTAAATTTGGCTGATTTTGTTGTTGATAATTGTAAGGAGTATTACCTGAATTAAATGGTTGTTGTTGAGGTCTTGGTAAAGAAGAATTGAATGAGGAAGAAGCAGCTCCGAATGGAAGCTGATTCGATGGTTGTGGAGGATAATATCCAGTTTTTGGAGGTATAGGAGAAGGATTGTATGAGGAGGAAGTAGCTCCGAATGGAAGTTTACTTGATGGTTGTGGTGGTGTAGTATAGCCAGGTCTTGGAGACGTAGAAGAATTGTATGGGGCGGAAGTAACAGCTCCGAATGGAAGTTGATTTGATGGTTGTAGTGGGGTATGTGAATGACCAGGCGGTTTTTTCTGGTACAATGGCTGTTGATATAATGATGAACTGGATGAACTGGATGAATTGGATGAAGGTGACGCTGCAGGTAAATTTGGTGATAACTGAGTTGCATTTTGATTGAATAGTTGTGGTTGATTTAATTTTTGATATTGTTGTGATGATGATTGCTGAATGGGCGAATTTATTCTTACTGAAGAATCTGGTTGTAAGAATTGTGTTGTATTTGGCGCAGGAGAAGGTGTGGGGGTAGGTTTTGAATGTAAAGGTAGCTGCGGTGGTGGTAACTGTTGTAATTGTGCATTTTGATTTATTGGTGGATGTGGTGATGAAGGTGATGAAGGCGAATGATAAAAGATGTTGGAAGTAGAACTTTGTGTTGAATGAGGTGGATTATTGAAGCCATTATTATTATGCATTGGTGGTGGGTGAGGAGAATTTTGGAAATGTGGTTGTAGATTACTGGGCGCAGTATAAAATTCATCCAGTGAATAAGTATCAGAAGTGTGCTTATTAGTATTATTTTGCTGAGAATATTCAATAGTCTCTGGATTTATTGGTTGCTGCGGCTTTTGTAAATAATTTGGTGGATAGGGTTTTTGAAGATTGTCATATGCAAAATTTTCATCATCAACTGGATAATTATTTACTATGCGATTATCATTGTCATAATCATAATCATTATTAACAACCATATTATTAGTTGTATAAAAAGGTTGTTGCTGTGTTGTTTTTTTAAATGGATCATATCTGTCTGCTGGATCTGATACCATTGTAGTATTAGTAATATCATCCGAAGACTCATCATCTTCAATGGAAAAATTTTTCCTAATTATATATTTTCTACCAAGGAAAAAGGCTATTGCAGCTATAACTGATATAATTAAACTTATCAATACCAACCAATAAGCGATACCAAAGGTTGCTTTATAAGAATTAGCCGATTGACTATTCACATTAATCGTATTAATTATAGTCATCACGCCATTATTAAACATTATAAAGTCAACAATGAAGGAAAATAATAATATCCCGGTTGATAAAATTGATATTTGCGATGCAATACCTAATAAAAGCTTTGCAGCACGTATATGAGCTATTATACCAAGTAATAATGTGACAAGTAATGAAAATATTGCTGAAATTTGATTTTTAAAAAAAAAAATAAAAATTATAGCGATTGTTTAGAGAAAAATAAATAAATGTATATATATATGTATGTATGTATGTATGTATAAAGAAATTAAATAACCCTACCAAATATATGAACTATAGCTAAATAACCTAAAGCGCTACCAACAGTTGGAATAACAACACCATCCGGAACTACTATATTCAATCTTGAACGATCTTACCAAAATAAAAAAAACAAGTTAGATTAAGGATATAGATTAGATTAGATCATTAATTAAATTAATTGAGATTGAATTAATTGATATTTATTTATTTCTAATTTCATGAATATTTTTTTAATAACTTACCAAACGTGTAGCCAAATTTTGGACTTTCGCATTCTAAAGGACCAGTATTTTGAACGCAAGTACCCCATAGTCCAAGTGTTAGAAATCTAGTGTCGGTAGGATCGCTTGGTGTTATTTTAACAAAAAAAATTGCTTTTATAAAAGTAGTGGATAAAACTGCAACTACAATTGCAGCTAATGTCAAAAATGCCAAAAATGTTCCTGGAGTTGCTCCAACGTTTATGATAGACATTTGTTATTATTGTTTAAATAATTTTTATGGATTGAAGAATTATTTATAAAGAATAATATAATTATAAAAACATGTTAATTTATCTTAAAAACTTTTTTTTATTTAAAAAAAAAAGAATTTTTCAGAATTGATTTTATTTTATTTTTATTTAATCAAAACATTATCCTGTGTAATAAATAAACACTCCATGAAAATTAATTAAAATAGATTTTTTTTTTCTTTATTATTATTATTCTGCATATGCAAAAAAAAAAAATGTCACAAAGAAATTTCAGGGATTGAAATTAGTATATTAAAACTTTATTATTGATATTAACAAATGGTGCTTGCTGATATTGCTCATCATTGCTAATTATGTTCCCTTAATATTAATCTTTTTTAAATATTGTCTTAGCTGAGTGCCCCTAAACAACAATATAATAAATGATCTAATATATCGCTTTTTCTACTAATCAATATATGATTCTAATGATTCTATTTAGGAAATTTGTATTCTCATGCAATTTCCATAGCAACTGGTAATGGTAGCTCGGCTTGCATGCAGTTCGAAGGATCCTAATTTGGTAAATAAATAAAAACCGATTGAATCTACGTCACCATAAATTGTAGTCGAGAATTTTACAAAAGAAAGATGATCTTGAGTTGCTGGTGGATTTGTTCATCAAGCTCCTCACGATTCGGCTCTGTGAGTGATAATTTATGAATTGTTTGATCCATATATGGAACAATGTTCCAAGATTATTTTCTGCCTCCTTTTTGGATTATAATATTAACTTATTGGTCTCTATATTCAGATAGTATTATAGCGTTAAAATAATGGATCTTCAAGCATCGAATAGAACTAGAATCCCATAGCCTAATACAAACATTTTGATCGCATATGTGAACTATCAATGCGCATGTGTGCATATACTCAAATAAAGCTTGGTCAAAAAACGAATGGAATCTTAAACAATATCACCTCTCGTAGACATTAGATATGGGTCAAGTAACCAACTAAGCTATATTCTTCACAAAGGACGCAAACACTCTTGTGCAAATTTTTTGACCATCAAGAGCAAATGACTCTCTTGTGTATATATTTGGTCATCAAGAGCAAGCATCCAACAAGAATGTTTCAGGATGCGTGAGAGATCAAAAAACAAAGCATTGTTTGTTCATTTACATTATGATCAGCTTTGTATGCGAGAATTACATAAAAAAATTGTTCGGCTTATCGATGCCGCATTTATTCCATAGTGATTCCACGGTGATTGATTGTATTTTTTTCAATGTGTGTGACTTCTGGTTTATATTAATATGACAAGAAAAAATGGATGATACTAATACGAGTAGTACAATTACAGTAATTGATTTCCCAAATAATGTAAATAATGAACCATAATGTACTACCAACACAAACTTAACCTTTGTAATTTGATGATATTGTTATTGAAGTATTAATAATTATTATTTCTTAGCATTAATTGTAGTACGAATTATTTATTATTATTATTATGGGAATAGGAATTATTTTTTGTAAGAAAAATTCGACATTCATCTTTTGATTTGTATAGTTCTATCATAATCAAGGTCTGGTCCTTCCAATCCTACTAACATCAACATATGTAATGTTTTGTTGAGAAAAACTATATTCACACTAGTGTTGGTCGCCAAAACTATTTTGAAGAGACGAAAGTCAAAACTAAAATTAAAAGTTATATGTCAAAATTAAATCAAAAGTCAATAGTCAAAAATCAAAACTAGTTTTGACTTTCGCACGGTTGCGAAACTCTCTAGTTTTGGAAACCAACACTAATTCACACTTGATAGAATTGAGTAAATTATTTGGAAAAGATATTTTAATAAAAATATCTATCTATTGATGTTGTTGTGTAATTAGCATCAATTATATATAATCATAAAATTCTTCAATTAATATTACATGAGGATAAATAATGATTGATCAAAATTTCTAACTTTTATCACCAAAATTATTTAGTTTTTGGCCATTCTACTGGATTAAAAATATTCATGGGGTGAATAAATAAGAGTTTGGAAGATATTGATTAATTTCTTCTATCACTGATGATACAAAACTAATTGTGTCATTGATTACTTCATATTTAAGATGACTTTTCATTGTCAAAATCTGGATGCTCTTTTTGTATCCTGCTAATAATTGATTTGATAATCAATATCAGAGAATTTAATTGAATAGTTTGGATAATTACAGTATAAGCTTTAATATTTAATTAAAATTGCAGCAATCAAAGACATCAAGCTATTAACCAATTGAATTAAGTTAACCATTCATATTTAAATAATTTGAATTTTGCTTGAAAAAGATGATGGCACTTCAGTGTATTGAATATCCTACTCCTTCTATTTTCTGAAGAAACCTTTCATTATTATAATCATCAACCTATAAAAAATATACTGTATTAAGTGGCACATTGCACAACTGTCTTGATCAAAGCTTTGGTCAAAATTAAACATATTATGATCATAATTTTAATACTTTCTTGAGAAGTTTTAACGAATATTAAACATTAATAATAAGAAAAAAAGAATTTTTATATTGAGTTTTTTTATAAATAATAATTTATCCCGATGTGCCATTTAATTAAAGTTATTAAGCATTTAAGATTAAGATCCATCTGTGCTAGTTTTTTTTTTTCGTCAAAAAATATATCGGGGCCTGATGTTGCGAAATTTTCACGAAAATTTTTAAGGAACGCGATTTTTTAGAATTTTTTCTTAACAATTATATTTTTTTGTTTGAAGCCAAAAAACTATTGAACCTATTACAGGTAAATATGTTGATGAGAGTTGAATGAATTAGGTGGAATAGGTAACGGAATTTGTAACATGCTAATACTAAATACTGGCCCTCGTTCGATACCCTTGTTGTGTAGTCATTGTCACCAAATTTGGTACATAACTTCTTTATCATATGTAAATATGATCTCGGCCTTAAAGTCAAATTTTTGATTTTATATTCATATATGTAGAAATTTGTTAGCACGTCCCAATTGCAAGCAAAGGTAAATTAAATTACATTATTATTATTATTATTGTATAAATATTTATAGAATCATGTTCACTTTGCTTCCTAAGGTGTATGTCTTTTATACCATCATTTATTTTAAACAAATATTAATATACAATGATTAAAAGAGTATAGTTATGGAAACCAAACATTTTATAGTAAAACTTTATTAATTATATTATTAATTATTAATTCCTTTTTTTAGATGTATTAATCAGAAGTGTTTCGCGACAATTAAATTAGTTATTATTATAAAAACAATGGTTTATTGTTACGCGACTATCAAAGTAATAATTTGACATCTATTGTTACGCGACCATCAAAATATTATTATTATTATCTTCATTACAATTAATGGTGCAAGTAGTGGCATTAGCAGAGTCTGATTTATTATTATTAATTTTTGTTTCTCATATTTTTATTTGATTTTTACAATTTACAAATCTAATATTAATACTAATAATATCTATTTAAATTTATTAGTGAAAATGAAGATGAAGATTATTATAAACTTTTTCATACACAATAAAAAAATTTTTCTTTTTGCTCAAATAATTAAAATTCACCTTTGAACAATTTAATAATAATAATAGCACCTGGCACATACAATAACATGGTCTGTCAAGCAAAAATTTCAATAATTATTGACTATAAGAATTAATAATATTAGATTTTATTGATATATATTAACATTTAAAAATTTTTGTCCAAATGCATCCATTAGGTTCTTGCGAGATAAATGTTTTTGGTGGGAAGGAGGATAATTGAAATTGTCAGTTCACAATATCAACAACTACAACAACTACTACAAGAACAACAAACAACAACAACAACAATGATAATATAATAATAATAATAATAATATAATAATAATAATAACAACAACAATAACATTTCCTCCTCTTCCTCAACATCTTCCTTTGTATGAACAATTAAATTTTATTTATTTTTTTTGGGCATTTGCTCAATTTTCTATTTCATTGGGGGTTTTCTGTTTTTTTTTTTTTATTCAATTTGTTCAATTTATAATTTCTTCATTCCATTGAACAATTTTTTTAATAATTTCTTCATTCTATTGAACAATTTCATTCAATTTTATTTTTTTTATAAAAATTAAAAATTATCATTTAATAAATTTTACATGGAGGCCTAAGCTATCAAATATACAATGAATTATTATTAAATTTGTTGCAATTTCATTACTAGTAATTTGGTATAATGAATTTAGATGCAATTTTCTTGTGTCCTCATAGATTCATTGGAACAAGGTTTGATTGTATATAGTATTGGTCCAATGTTTTCTTCTGGAGATTCATGAATTGAGATTAGTCAGCCTTTGACATTTTAATTATTATTATCATCAAATCTATTAAATATACTCTTTAATAAATTCTGTTAATCTAATATCTCTCTCTGTAATTCTTTGTATCTGGATTAATTTCCATCAACTCTAACCAACTCCTTATATCCAATATTATTTATTGCTTATAAAAAACCCTTCACACCATAACAAAGTTTTACTATTAATAACATCAAAAATCCTAGCTGATATATTCCTGTAATAACAATTATTTTATTAATTCCTTTTTTAGATCTGATGGCATACAATCAGAAAGATTTGTTACATGACAATCAAATTAGTTATAATCATTATTATTTATATTATTATTATATGCAACTATTATTATTCTTTTCATTGTTTTAAATCATTAATTTAATTTTTCTATATACTGTATTTATGATTTTAATGGCAAAGAAAAAGAAAACAAGAAATATTTGATTCATTGGTGGATTATAGCCATGCAATCAATATGCTATTTGACTTGAAGAGTTCAGAGATAATTATGATGACAATTTATTAAGGTGAATAACTATAGTAGTAGTCAATTTTATTTGTTTGATAATTATAATAAAAAAAGTTTATTTCATTAAGATTAAGATTAAGGTTAAGATTAAGATTAAGATTAGT